CACCAAGACAGTTCTCAGGCTCTGGCCAATTGTCTACTCCTCATCTGCAGGAAATGGTCCCTCCAGGCCCAACAGCGTCGGGGGGGCCGTGACCCGGAAGTGACAAGGGCCCCGCTTCCCAAGGCCCAGGCTTCGGAGACTAGGGACGGGGAAGGAGCCCAGACCACGAGCACAGCTTGTGCGCAGGCGCGGCACTTACAGACCTGATGCACCCAGGCCACCTTCTCCATAACCAGTCAGTTAGTAAGCTGTTCTCCGAAGTATTCAGTGAGCACTGTGGGGGACCTGGTCTCTGCCTTCACAGAGCTGAGCATTGAGTTGCAGACATAAAATGCACCAAACCACTTACTTGGGACCTGCAAATGGGCTGCATTCCAGAATTTCAGTTGTAAATCAGTGCTTGGTTCTTACAACAATGTGTTCTTTGGGGAAATAAAAAAAATTATTCCCTGCATTGCATGTTGTATTCCTGGCCCCATCCATGGAAAAATATTACATCCACTGGATATAATTATATACAGCGGCAAATATTTGTAATGAAATACTGTAGGAAAAAAATATACAACTCAAAAAAATAAGCCATTTTATTTGTTCCTGACACATAGTATGTACTACATAAATGTTTGTATACAAATATTGTAGACAAAAGACTAACGTTTTTTGGGTCTCAGTTGTCTTCGTCAGGACTTGGTCACTTGCTTCTGACAAGCCCTAGTGAGCCTTGTAATTGATTTTGGATGCGTTACAAAATTCAGATATTCAAACACTAAACGTTAGGTTTAATTTTAAAAATTGGAAACAAAAGTAAACAAGCAGAAAAGCTCCATGAAGTCAAAAGGCAAGTGACAAACTGGGAAAAATTATTTGCAGTTCATATCAGAAAGGATGAATCCCCCTAATATAAACAAAGCTTCTAGAAATAGAGGAGAAAAAGATGGGCAAGAGACAAGAATGGGTAGTCCACGGATGACCCCGACACATATGCAAAGATGGTCAACGTCCTTCCAAGTCGGAGAAATACAGATTAAAACAATACCAGGCTACAATGTTTTACCTGACAGATTGGCAAAAGTCCGACGCATTTTGTTGGTAAATTTGTGGTGAAACAGGACGTTCTCATCCATTGCGCCTGAGACAGCAAAAACCCCTGTGAGCAGCAAACACTAGCTATGAAATCCCCAAATTCAGCTACCCTTCACTCCTACATCTGGCCTCTAGGAACCCATCCTCTGTCTCGCATCAATGTGAAATGGCATGTGCACAAGGTTATTGGTTGCGGAATAGCACATCGTAATAGCGAAAGATGGCGATAACGGACCATCATTAGGTGGAAGCTGGTTAAATATTCTATGGTGCGTCCACACAATGGAGCGGTAAGGATGTATAGAAAATAATGAACTTTTTGTTGAACAGAAAGATTTCTAAAATATATTAAGTAATAAAACTAAGGTGCAGAAGGGTAATTGTATAAGAAGGGGGAAAACAAAAATGAATTATTTGTGTTATGAGTATTTACAAAAGAGGTGCTGGAAGGGTACATGAGAAATAAAGAAGAATGTTGATCAGTTAGACTAGAGCAGCGGCTCTTAAACTTCAGCCTGGACCAGGATCACCTGGAGGGCTCGTTAAACACAGATTAGTGGCTTCCACTCCTGTCGCTTCTGATTCAGGTCTGGGATGGAGCCCAAAACTACTTCTAACAAGTTCCCAGGTTGCCAACCAGAAGGTTGGATTTTGAGACCCATTGGGCCAGGAAATGGGATAAACAGAGGCTGGAGCAAGGCTTCTCCAGGTATATCTTTTTTTTTTTTTTTAAGATTTTAAAAATTTATTTATTTAGAGAGAGATCACATGAGCGGGGGGGGGGGGCAGAGGCAGAGGGAGAGAGAATCTCCAGAGGACTCCTGCACTGAATTCAGAGCCCGACTGGGGCTCCATCCCGTGACCCCGAGATCAAGACCTGAACCAAAATCAAGCGTTGGACGGTTAACCAACTGAGCCACCCGGGTGCCCCTCCAGGTATATCTTTTTATCATTTTGATTTTTAAAATATGTGAATGTATTACCTACTCAAGAAAATCTTAATTAAAAAAATGTGTTCAATAAAATAAACTGCTCCTCAACCACCCTCTATCCTCTTAACCTGTTTTATTTTTCTTTCCAACAATTATTATAGCTAAAATCATGTTATTGTGTTTACTTGCTTTTCTTTCTTCCCCTAGGGTAAGACTAGGGTAAGGATGTTGCTTTTCCATTGCTCACTATATTTCCAACACTAATATTATGTCTGGCGCAGAGTAGGCGCTCAAGAAATAGTTGTTGGATGAATGAAGTATCTGCTTAGTTCTTCTAGTATATACTAGATCCAGGTCCGGATGCCTCACTGAAAGGGTACCCTAATGCCCAAGACCCTCTTCTAGGTGAGGGCCGATTCAGGCGCCGAATGTCCAATCACGGTTTACTTTAATGGTCTTCATGTAGGTTTCCCTTTGGCATTTTAGTTCTGCAGTGAAGTCAGGGGGCCTGTGGGCTCAGGTGAGACTGTGCTGCTCATCTTGCCACCCCGTCAGACTGAAAAGAGTTTGGGTTTGGGAGTCACAGAGACATGGCATCCAACCCCATGGGCCACTCACCAACCTTAGGCATCTCCGGCCCTCAGCTTCCCCAACTGTAGAATGGGGATGCTTATGCCTAGCCCTTGGGATTGCTGAGAGAATCAAATGCAATAATGTGCACGACACGTGGCACCCAACTAATGTTAGTTATTTCTTGGCTTTTCAGCTTGTTTATTACATCAGCTGTTTTCATAGTTCTCCCCCCAACCTTGGTTTATTAAGTAATAGTTGTAAAAGTTTATAACAAGTCACATCTAGATTGGCAGCCGGCACCCTTGTTTTGATTGGCCTCAAAGTGTTTAACAAAAATCTGACTTAATTGCCAACATTTAGAAACTGGAGGTCTTACATAAAAATCTGGATTTGTGGCTTCATTGGAAACATCTGCATGACCACAATCGCTGGAGCTCGGTGTTGGCATTGCACTCCGCTCAGTCCCCGTGACTCTCTACCACATTCCACCTCGTCACCCCTCATCACCCCGAACAGCTAGCCCCTAGAGGCTTTGAGTCCCTAATTTAAACACCCTGTTTATAAAGCGCTTCCACTTTCTTCTCTCACTTGAACTTTACCCTCGAGGGAGTTGTTACAATTATCCCCCATCTTACAGGGGAGCTGAAGCAGATCTGTGGGGTGACGCACTCGGGGTTAAGACAGCAACAGCAATGAATAGCCAGCCTTTGCTGGGTGCTCAACGTGTGCCAGGAATTACTCTCAGCACATTGTGTGCCTTAATTAATTTAATCCTCACAACAATTTTATTAGATATTTCTGTTAACCCTATTTTACAGTTGAGGAAATTGAGGCAGAGAGGTCAAGTGACTTTCCCAAGGTCACACAGCTAGAAAGCTCAAAATGAACCCATCTTCTGCGTCCTAATCTGCACTGTAAGGCAGTGCAGTCTTTCCTTGCTTCTTCCCTTTCTTTTTTTCTTTTCAAATAGGCAAATCTATGGACCCAGCTTCTGGTAAGATTTTGTAAGGGTTTTTTTTGGGGGGGGGCAGGTGGGGTTACATTTTGTAATACTTGTGCTCTGCTGTACCCCCATCACCTAGAACAATTCCTGGCATGTAGCAAAAGTATAAGAAATACTGGAAGAATATAGCCCTAGAGGCATTCATTATCCATTATCAGCTTTCAGTGCCCCTACTAACTGTTTAATTAATTAGCACAGAGATGAGGACCTTCTATGGATTAATGAAGTATCTGCTTAGTTCTTCTAGTATATACTAGATCCAGGTCCGGATGTCTCACTGAAAGGGTACCCTAATGCCCAAGACCCTCTTCTAGGTGAGGGCCGATGCAGGCACCGAATGTCCAATATGATGGGTTCCCTGCTCTTGAGGTGAAAAACCCTGACAAAGTTCAAATACAGGACATATGCAGACCTGTCACTTGCCAAGAAAGTTATGTTTCCCCTTCAAAATGATCAATTTTTTTTTTTATTTGCGAGAGAGAGAATGAGAGACAGAGAGCATGAGAGGGAGGAGAGTCAGACGGAGAAGCAGACTCCCCGCTGAGCAGGGAGCCCGACGCGGGACTCGATCCTGGAACTCCAGGATCATGACCGGAGCCGAAGGCAGTCGCTTAACCAACTGAGCCACCCAGGCACCCCAAAATGATCAATTTTCAATAAAGGCTAAAAATGGAATCAAGTTGGAGTGCCTGGGTGGCTTAGTCAGTTAAGCGTCTGCCTTCAGGTCAGGTCATGATCTCAGGGTCCTGGGATTGAGTCTCGCATTGGGCTCCTTGTTCAGTGGGGAGTCTGCTTCTCCCTCTACCCTTCCCCCTGCTCGTGATCTCTCTCTCTCTCAAATAAATAAATAAAATCTTAAAAAATAATGGAATCGTGGTGCCTCGGTGGCTCAGTTGGTTGGGCGACTGCCTTTGTCTCGGGTTGTGATCCCGGGGTCCTGGGATCGAGCCCTGAATCGGGCTCCTTGCTCAGCGGGGAGCCTGCTTCTCCCTTTCCCTCTGCTACACCACCTGCTTGTGCTCTCTCTCTCTCTCTGTCAAATAAATAAATAAAATCTTTTTAAAAAATAATGGAATCAAGTCAGTTTAGAATGCTAATTATCTTATTGAATTTATATTTTTGATGGTGAAACTGGGCGCCAGAGACAGTGAAGTTTAACATGTTTGATCCAACTAATTTCTACTCTGTTTCCCCTATGAGGGCTTCTGGAGAGTCCAGGCAAGGACTATAGACTTCCGGCCTTATGTTGTTTTTTTTCTGATATTGCTGTGCCCTGGAGTTGGCTCTCTAAACAGCTGGTCACCTAGCACTGTCTGTATCTCTTTTTTCTTTTCCTCTCTCATCTATCATCCCCCTTCACTTCCTTGCCTTCCTCCCTCCTTATCTCTTTCCATCTGTTCATCCTTTTCCCTCCCTCCCTTTCTTCCATCTTTTCATTATCCATTATTTTTCATTTTCTCCCACAATAATCCTGCAAAATAGTCTGGTCAGAGATTATCACTGAAATTTAATGAGGAACTTAAGTCACAGAGAAGTGGAGTCATTCTTTTAGAATTTATCCCCCCAATGTTCTCCCCACAGATCTGAATCCCAGGTCGTGTGTCTTCTACCACACCACAACTTTATTCCCCTGCAGGAGCACAGCCTCTGCCAGAATATTTCTGCTTTCACCATGATATCATGAAAGAAAGAAGCAAGATGAAAAAACCCCTAGATTTATGATTCATCTCCCTTTTTCAGGAAAATAGAAATTTGGCATCATTTTCCAAATGGGGTGGAAATTAAGCTGCACACCTAGCTGCAAGCACTGGGTGATCTCCCTCAAGAAACCAGCTCCAGCTCAAGTAGGAGATGGGTTCTTTCAGCTCAGCTAACCCAAGCTCCTTCCCAAGCTGCGCACGATGAGACCTGCTACTGCTTCAAGTTGCTCACGGTTTGTGTGACGTGCCACATAGAGGGGACTTGGGAGACCATGGAGGTAAGAAGGAGCTCCAAACACAGTCTAGGGAGGTCAAGGAAGGCTTCCTGGAGGAGTTATCAGTTGGGCTTAGACTTGTTGGTGAACAGATGTTATCCTCTGGTGAAGGTGAAGAAGGGAGAGACAAGATCTCATATGAGCAAAAGAGGAGAAAAAGGCTGATTAATCTCCCATTGCATGTATATGCTACGTTTTGTTCATTCATCTATCCATGGACACTTGGGGGGCTTCCACCTTTTGGCTCTTATGAATAATGCTGCTATGAACATGGGTGTGCAAGTATCTGTTTGAGTCTCTGCTTTCAATTCTTTTTTTTTGAGAGAGAGAGAGAGCAAGAGCTCATGCAAGTGGGGTGGGGGATGCAGAGGGAGAGGGAGAGAGAGAACCTTAAGCTGAGTGTGGAGCCCAATGCGGGGCTTGATCTCATGACCTGATCATGATCTGAGCCAAAATCAAGAGTCGGATGCTCACTGAGCCACGCAGGTGCCCCTGCTTTCCATTCTTTTGAGTATATATCCAGAACTGAAATTGCTGGATCACATACATATTGCTTTTTGTTTCCAAAATTTTTTATTGTAGTGAAATACAACATGAAATTTTCCATGGTAATCATTTTTAAGTGTACAGTTCAGTGGTATTAAGTATATTCGTTTGTTGTGCCATCACTACCATTCATCTCCAGAACTCTTTTCATCTTGCAAAACTGAAACACTCTAGGGCGCCTGGGTGGCTCAGACGGTTAAGCGTCTGCCTCCGGCTCAGGTCATGATCTCAGGGTCCTGGGATCGAGCCCCGCATCGGACTCCCTGCTTCTTGGGAGCCTGCTTCTCCCTCTGCCTCTCTCTCTCTCTCATGAATAAATAAATAAAATCTTAAAAAAAAAAAACAAAAAAACTGAAACACTCTACCCGTTAAACAGGGAGTCCCCACCCCCTCCAGCAGCCTGCAGCAGCCTCCAAGCTACTTTCTCTCTCTATGAATCTGACTACCCGAGGAACCTCAGGTGAGTGGAATCATACAGTATTTGTCTTTTTGTGACCGGTTCATTTCACTTAGTATCATGTCCTCAAGGTTCATCCATGTGGTCGCATATAACAGAATTTCCTTCTTTTTTTGAATAATATTCCATGGTGTGTGTGTGTGTATATATATATATATATATATATATATATATACACCACATTTTGCTTATCCATTCATCTGTCAGTGGACAGTTGGGTTGCTTCTGCATTTTAACTATTATAGATATTGCTTCTTAATATATTATGAACAACTTTTCCTATGAATAACCAAATTTCCCTAAGGCTTTTTTTTAGCGGCTGCTTTATAATATGTCAAATGGCTGTCCCACAATTTAGTTGACTAATCCCTGATAGTTGGAAATTTGCTTATTTCTAGCTTTTTGATATTATATTAGTGCTGGAAGAGTACCCTTGTGAATAACACCTTTGCATGCCTGATTATAACCTTCAGATAAGAGTATGCACAGTGTTTAGGCCTTTGGTACATACTGCTGGGCCCTTGTTACAAGCAGCCGCCCTCCCCTCCACCTCCAGACAGTAGCCTAAGCCTGGGCAGGGTGCTGCACAGGCCTCCGCCCCTTAGGATTGGGGAACACCATGATGTCCAGACATCCCTGCACCTCCTAGGTGTGAGCACCATATGAGTCCTGTAATAGATGCAGTTAAGGCCTCACACCTGCTTACCTATGATGGGGTCCTTAGGTGGAGCTCTCCCCAGGAGGTCAAGTTGAACCTTTGTGTCATGTGGCAAATGGGTCTTTGCCAGGGAAAATTTGGTTCAACAGAGATATGCTCCAACTGGCTCAAACCAAAGGGGGGCAATTTATGAGAAGGGAAATGGAGATCAGAAGGCCTGAAGACAAGGCCACTTGGGCTTCACAATGGTCTAGAACGAAGAACTGAAAAGTCAAGTGTTCAGATTCCTTCTCTATCCCTTCTAGAGTGATCTCTGTCACACCTGCTTCTCTCACTGCATCCCCTCAGTCTTCTCTCTTTCTGTACAGACCAGGTTACAACATGCCATGTGGATCACTGGTCCCAGACCCCAATACCTGCTTGACTTTCTGCTTCAGCACCATCATGAGGAATAGCAGTGTCTGGGTCCCAATCCCAAATTCCTGGAAGGTGGATCTATCTAGAAGAGGTGCGTTTACCTGGGGAAAGAGGACAGGGTAGCTGAGCCCACACTCCTCACGCAGAATTCATGGCTGGGGGACGGGACAGGAAGATCCATCCAAAGGGATTCCACACCTGTCTGGCAACTTTTTCTTGCACTTCCAGATCTCAGGCTTCAATGGGATCATTCATGGTCAAGAAACTTATGAACAGTACAACCATTCTGCAGGAAAAATGGTGCACTCAGAAGGTTAACTCAAGGGAGAGAATGAGGGTGCTTAGGAAAGAGTGGGCAGAATTAAGGGAACCAAGCTGAGATGGTGAAACACTCTGGGACAAGCAACAGGAGAACCAGTCCCACCCATACATGGGTCTGAAGGGGGAGAGGAAGGAAGCTGTCACTGCCGAAACCAGAGAGGACTGAAGCCAGCAGTGGTGGGTTCGAGGGTGAGGGTCCAAACTGCAGGCAGAGCAGAGGAGGCAGAGCAAGAAATAGCCAGTCGCTCTCTCCTCCCACCCAACCTGAAGCCAGGGGACAGGGCACTTGGGTGATGAGTTTATAGGGTTCGGCCTCCTGGGTCACAGAGCAGGGCGGAGAAGGATGCCAAGTGGATGCCGCTGGGGTGGCATGATGGAAATTACCCAGCCCGGGTGGTTATGATGTACATTTTCAGAACATGACAAGTGTTCCACTCCTGACTTTGTCATCTTACTCCTAGAAATGTAGTTTGAAGAAAGGATGCAAATTAGAATTTTTATTTGTACTAACTTTTGGGAGGCAGTATGGCTTAATGACAAAGTGTGGGCTTTGGGGTCAGAAAGATCAAATTGCAGTCCAGGCTCTCCTCCTTCTTAGCTCTATGGGATTTGGGGTCTCTATCTGGATTGACCTCTCAGAGCCCCATTTTCTTCATCTGTAATACCATTCGTTTCCTGTGGCTGTTGTAATAAATCACCACAAAACTCGGTGGCTTAAAACAACAGAAATCTAGTCGCTCACAGTTCTCAAGGCCAGAAGTCCTAAATCCGGGTGTCAGCAGGGCCATGCTCCCCCCGGAGGCTCTACCAGAGAATCCAGTTCATGCCTCTCTCCCAGCTTCCAGTGACTACTGGAGTCAGTCCTTGGTGCTCCTTAGTCTGTAGCCGCATCCTTCCAATCTCTGCCTCCATCTTCACATTGCTTTCTCCTCTGTGTCTGTGTGGTCTCCCTCTGACTCACTCTTACAAGGACACTCATTGGATTTAGGGCCTGCCCAGATAATTGAGAATAATCCTATCCTAAGATACTTAAGTACATTTGCAAAGACCCTTTTACCAAATAAGGTCACAGTCACAGATTCCAGGGATTGGGATGTAGACATATTTTCCCCTGCTTTGGTGTGTGTGGCGGGGGAAGACACCATTCAACCCATTTAAGAAACTGGAGGAAGCGGGGCGCCTGGGTGGCTCAGTTGGTTAAGCGACTGCCTTCGGCTCAGGTCATGATCCTGGAGTCCCTGGATCGAGGCCCGCATCGGGCTCCCTGCTCGGCAGGGAGTCTGCTTCGCCCTCTGACCCTATCCCCTCTCATGTGTTCTTTCTCTCTCATTCTCTCTCTCAAATAAATAAATAAAATCTTAAAAAAAAAAAAAGAAACTGGAGGAAGGGAGATTCAGAAACTTGGGGGAGGGGAGCCGGCTGACACATCAGAACAGGTGGTGGTTATTGGGGGAAGCATCATGGAGGAAACAGAAGACAACCCTTCACCCAGAAATAACCAATAGAAGTATTGTTGAGTGAACAGAATGAATTGAAAGGAATTGAGGATGAGCCATAACAGAAGTCTGACATCCCAGACTTGTCTCCCAGCCTCACTGATAGAACCGTGGACTCCACGGTTTGCTGTCTGTCCATCACTGTGCTCAGCTCCACTCCTCACTTCTTAACCCAGTTTTGCCTCTGGCTTGTGTCCTGTGTGATGAATGCCTTAAATAGTCTGAAAATGAAAATCAGGGATGTGTGTGTACTGAGAGACTGAATATATAAATAGACAATGGCCAGACCATAATGACAAATGGAACTCTGACCCACAACCTCTGCAGCAACCAGCTTGGGAAGAGAAACCACAAACCTCTGCAGTAATCAGCCCAGAACAGTCAGGACTTGGTCAATGACCGTCAACTTTCCTATTCTTTGCCCCCACTTCCAGCTCAGGACTAGCCAGAGAAAGCTGAAGACATCCCAAGCCAATCACATACAGGCGCCCTGCTTCTAGTCAGCTGTTTCCAGCTTCCCTTTGCCAACAGCCTCCAGCAGAGCACCCCTGAAGCCCTCCTTTTTTTTTTTTTTAAACTATAAAGCTTTCTGGTTCCAGTGCCTGCCTTTGAGTCTCTGCCAAATGCAAGTGATGGGGGCTGACTCCTTTTTTGCGGCAAGCTCTAAATCGATAGCCTCTGTTTGTTGTCATTGGGGTCTTTATTTCCATTGGGCAGTCTCTCCATTCTGCTCAACTGAGTGCACATAAGCTCCTACTCCTTGGTTATGAGAATCACCAGTGAAGTTGAACCACTACAACCAGTACAGTGCCTGACACATAGTAGATGCTAAATAAATTATTGTCAAGGGAATGAACAGCTCTCTAGGTTAAGCTGAAATTATTGCTGCAACTCCAAGTTCTTAGATGAAGTTTAGGGAAGTAAATCCAGAAGACTTATTTTAGGGAGATTCCAATGAACTCTTTGTTTTTCTGAATTCTTTGAAAGATGGAATTTTCTAGTTAATAGAACTTTCTAGTTGACTCAGAGTGCCTAAGTGCCCTTATATATGTTCCTCATTGAACAGACCTTAATACTTCTTAAAGAGGCAGATGGCATGCTATTATTTAAAAATAGTGCTGTGAAAAGTCTCAAGTGCCACACAGAATGGGCAGAAGTTGGATGGTGCTGGCTGTGGGGCTATACCCACGTTGGGGGCTATTGTTGAACTAAATGCCCAATTGGAGCTTGTGTATTATGTATTATGTATTACCCATAATGTGTATTATGTATTGCCCATAAAATGGAATGCAGACTACTCTCATTACCCACCACCCCCTGCCTCCCCCATGGAGTTCCTTGGTTGTTTAGATGGTGGGTAAACAGGTTGTGGGGCTGTTAGGTTGTTATCGAGGAGAAAGGTTGGAGGCAGCAGAGGTGAGGAAGGCAGAGGACCTGCAGGAAGGAGCCTCAGAAGAGGCTCCCAAGAAGCTGCTGTGCCCAGGAGATGTTGGGACCACAGGACCCCACTTCTGTTAACTATGTAAGGTGGTAGACACCATTTCCAAAGCACAGAGAAGACAATTTCCTTGAAACAGCAAAAAGCTTTTTGACTCTGCCCTTTTAACAAAAAATTCAAAACATCCTTTCAAGCTCTGTTTAGCTCTGTTTATAGCTGTGTTTAGAAAAGCTGAACAAATGAAATTTACTTAACACTTCAAACGCAGGGCTTTTGGTTGATCACTGTATATCCTATGTTTTGAATACAATTTTGAATTTCACAGCAGCAGGAATTTTGCCATGAGAATTTATTTACCACAAAAGCCAAAGACTGTTCTTGTCTCCATCTCTCTTTACATTCCTTCCCCTTCCCCCTCTTCCCATTGTCCCATGCGTGTACTAAAGTTCTCTTCATTTCCCTAGCCGACCCATACCCGTTCTTGTCGCAGTCTTTGCACATGCTCTTCCCAACGCCTGGAATGCCCTCTTCTTTCAGTCCATCTGGTGAGCCAAACAATACTCTAAGACTAAATACAAGAGGGGGTTCTGGGAAGATGGAGCATTGGAAGCACTAGGAATCTGTCTCCCCACCTAGACAACAATTGCACTGGAAGAATCTGTCTGCTGTAACTATCTTGGAACTCTGGAGTCTGTTTAAGGCTTGTAAATTCCAGGGAAAGACTTGGACAGTAAATTGTAGTGAATTTTGATCAATTTTAGCTCTTAGTACAGTAGCAGCTGCCCACCCCCCACCCCCCATCCCCAGCCACATGGCAGGCAGCTGTGCGAGTGTTCCTGGAGCAGACTGCACACAACTTGCAAGAGCCAGAGCAGGCAAAAAGAAGCCTGTTCTCCAAATATCTGTGCTCTGACACTGACTGCTGCTTCTGATCACAGAAGGTGCAGAGAGGTGGCTGCCATGGCTGTCACACCTCCTGCCATAGTTGCAAGCCCCTCCCCCTCCAGCTGAAGTGACTTGCTGGGAATTTTACTGGCTGGTGCCCACCGCCCTTCATTTTTCTCTTTTTTTCCTTTTGGGAGACAGACATTAATGACTAAGACGTTAAAAAAAATTTTTTTTTCAAGGGAAATTAGAAAATGAAAGCATGTGCCTAGAAAAGACCTGAGAAGATGTTAAGTTTATACCTCAGGCTGATCCTCAGCACAAAGACAGCCTACAACAATCAAAACAACAAAACCAGTAACTAAAAATAATAAAACCCAGCAAACCCTGGGGAAGGAGGAGAATCTGATTTCTAGAGTTACCAGATTATTAGATTCAAATGTCCAGTTTCCAACAAAAAAAATCACAAGGCATACAAAGAAACAGGAAAGTGTGGCCTATTCAAAGGGGAAAAAAAAATATATCAACAGAAAGTGTCCCTGAAAAAGACCTAACGGCAGATATACTGGGTGAAGACTTTAAAACACCTGTCTTAAAGATGCTCGAAGAACTAAAGGAAGACGTGGAGAAAGTGAAGAAAATTATGTATGAAATAAAAATGCCAGTAAGATGAGAGAAAACTTAAAAATCAAGCAAAAAGAAAGTCTGGAGCTGAAAAAAGCAATAACTGAAATGAAAAATTCACTAGAGGGATGCAAAGGCAGATTTGAGCAGGCAGAAGAAAGGATAAGTGAACTTGAAGATAGGACAACAGAAATTGCTTCCTTACAGATATGTCCTGGCCCCTGGGGTGAGGAGAGAACAATGGATGGTGTGGCCTATGTGGGCAATACAGGGCCGGAGACATCCCCTGAAGTTTTCCCCAAAGTGACCCTGTTGGAGTGTGAAAATAGCTGAGAGAGAGAGAGAGAGAGAAGGAGAGAGAGTATCACTGCTGTATCCTGCCCATGTCAGGAATGTGGCTGATTTCTAGAGTACTGTGATGGTTAATTTAATGCATCAACTTGTCTAGGCCATGGCGCCCAGATATTTGTTCAAACATTATCCTGGATGTTTCTGTGAGGGTGTTTTGGGATAAGAATAACATTTAAATTGGTGGATTTTGAATAAAGCAGATTACCCTCCATAATGTGAGTGAGCTTCATCTAATAAGTTGAAGGCCTGAATAAAACAAAGACTGATCTCCCCTGAGCAAGAAGGAATTCTACCAGCAGATGGCCTTTGAACTTGAACTGTAACTCTTGCCTGGGTCTCCAGCCTGCTGGTCTACCCTGCAGATTTCAGACTTGTATCCCCATAATCATATAAGCCAATTCCTTAAAATAAATCTCTGTCTCTCTCCCCGTCTCTGTATACACATCCACACAGACACACACACACATGTATATATATGTATATACATTGGTATATACATAACCTGTTGGTTCTGTTTCTCTGGAGAACCCTGACCAATACAAGTACCGTCCATGCCAGGAAGTCAAGATGGAAACCCATCAACCACGGCAGAATGTCAGAGGCCCCATCTGAAAAAGTATTTGTCGACTCTCGGCAAACATGGTAATTATCCAAAAGTAGGAGGCCAGTTCAGGATGCAGCAGAATGCCATCCCCAACTGCTTCCACTAACCCCTCACCCCCACAAATCCATTTAGGGACTGATCCTTTCTTTTTCCTGCATTTTGTCTCTCTCACTGCTACCACCCTCGTCTGAGCCATCCAGAGAAATCCCCCGCCCACCACACAGGGCCCTTGACGGCCTCACCACTGCTAACTTCCAGCTTTGATCTCTGCCATTCCCCATGTCTGCCCAACGTGCCTGCTGACAGAACTCTTCACCACTGCTTGTATGCTTCATGCTTTTTTATGCTTCTGTGTTTTTCAGTCACCTAACAAATCTCTAAAGAGGATGCCCTTGTGAATGCCCCTGTGCTAAGGGCTGACCCCATAGGTCCAGACCTCAGGCACTCTAGTCTTGGGGGAAGACAGGCTTGGAAGCACATGGGTGCAAGCCCAGGTTGGCAGTGCCTGAGAGAGACCCGAACAGGCTACAGAGGGGAGCGGGGCAGCACGGGGTCCAGGAGCATCACACAGGGCGGGAACATCATCATGTCACCCACACTTCCCTCTGCTACCCGTGTCTCTTCCCCAGGGAACTTGTCTCACAGCTCAGGATCAGCTACATCTCATCTCTGCTCAGAAGAGCCTACTGTGGCCTCGCGGCTCTCTCCAGAGGGCCTCTCTCCCTAATAGTTCATATTTACCACCTTCCTCACTTACCACATCGAGTAGTAATACCACCAAAACCTGCTCGTCAAGCATTCACTCCGTGCT